AGGAGCACTCAGAGCTGTGACTCCTAAGCTGGGAGAGTGGCTCCAGCAGATCCCAGGGACAACCTCAGAGCTCTCTTTCCAGAAGAGTGCAGTGCTAGGAACAGCTAAGATACTGCGCAGAACCCTCAAATTCCTAGGCCTCTGGTAGAGGACCAAAGATTGAGGAAGACACATACCATCCATAAGGATGAGAGGGTTTTTTTAAAAAAATTATTTACCATATTGTAGAATACTGGAAAGACAATACATATGAATTTCACATTACAGCAGATGGCAACATCTAATGAACATAATGTTGAAAAAGCTAAGCAGGGATGGATTTGGCTAGCACTTGGATGGGAAGCCATCAAGAAATTACAGGAATCTGCCAACTATATCAATATCTGTATTTTTAGAAAGCAAATGTGGAATGCCTTTCAAATCATGGCATATATTAGAATCTAGGCATATTAAACCAGGATCTTCATTTCCTGCTTTGAAAACTGCTAGGCATATTTGCTTAGTAATAGGTAAGTGGATACTATTTGATCCTGAATCACAAAATAGCAGGAATGAATTTCTGTTGGAATGTTTGGGCCAAAAAGGGAGTAATACTTTAAATGAGCTGATTTTAATGGTAGTTCTAAAGATTTTGAGACATTGTCTTTTGAGTTTAATTTGCCTTCAAGATATGCTTGGCAGTATATACAACTGAAAGATATATTAAATAAACACTATAGTCCAGATGCTTTAGCTACCTCTGAGGTACCTGCAGTGTGCTTGAATGGAAACCAATAATACAGTTTTATAAGGGATTAAAAGTAAAATAAAAGTTAGTATTTGCTATATATTTGATCTGTGGAAGGAAGAATTGGAATATTCAATTTTGAAAAATCAGTGGGTCCAGGTGTTAAAAAATGTGAAATATACTTCATGCAAGTTAAAAAATGAAACTAATTCATCAGAAAATATTATTTCAGGTATTTTGTACCCCTTAAAGACTACTTTAAAAGGGATGGATATTAGACTTTTTATAGTGGCAGTGTAAGAAATTGGAAAGTTTTTTAACTCATATGATTGGGTCTTGTTCTGTTGCAGCTTTGTTCTCCTTTCAAATTAATATATATGTTAACGTCATTTTGGGAAGAAATATTTAAGGAGTGTAACATTAAATAGCATCCCCAAAATATGGAAATTGTGATCTTAGAAGAGCTTTGACTTTACTAAGTTTTAGATACAGCAAAAAGGATAAACTTATGTAACTGGAAAACAAAATACTCTCCCAATTTTAAGAAATAGGTCCATGATATGAGTTTGTTATTTATATTTGAAAAGTCTCTGTGCTCTAAAAAATAAGATGACATATTATGTTGTTACATGGGTCAGATTAAATTATAAGGTTAATGACTGAATTAATTTCATATAGTTTTTTTTATACTTATCACAGGGATTTTTAAAACTTTAAAGAAGCTGCTACATATTTAGTGAGTGTGTATGTATTACATTTTGGAGGAACTGCCATTTTAATTTGTTGAGTAGGTGTGAAAATACAAAACACACATTTCTATCAAGAAAGTTCTAGCTTCATGAAGAAGAAAAGGTGTTGGAATATTTTCAGTCTAATTTACAAAAAAAAATGACAGGTAGTCCTTGCTTAACAACCACAATAGGGACTGGAAAATTGGTCGTTAAATAGGGTTGTCATTGAGTCACCACGTGACCAGACCCGATTTTATTATCATTTTTATGATGGTTGTTAAGTGAATCACCATGATTGTTAAGCAAATCACATGGTCGTTAAGTGAATCCAGCTTCCCCAATGGCCGTTTTTGCTGGAATTCGCTTAACGGCCATGTGATTCACTTAACTGCAGTGATTCACTTAATGACCATCACAAGTGTGAGTACAGGTTGTAAAGCACTTTTTCCAAGGTTGTTGTAACTTTAAACTCTTGTTTAACAAATGGTCATTAAGCGAGGACTACCTGTAAAATGTCACCAATTTGATTAAAAAAACAACAACAACCATCTCCTAGTGGTAAAGGAGCATGTATTTGAGACTGGCTGAAGTATGATAAGAAGTCCCAGGGCTAAGGGTACAGAAAACCAAAATGAGTGACTAAAAGAAGAGTGAAAAATATGTAATGGATGAGAAATAGGAATGTTTGTGCAGAATCTATGAAAGAAACTTGATGGAAAGAATACTGTAATCTAAATATGAAGGAAACAAGAACTGACAAAAAAGAAAATAAATGTCCTGAAAGTACCTTAGGCTATATGGAAGAGGAGTTTTAGGAGTGTCATAAAGGCTCAAAAAATAATCAGCAAAGCAGCAACCCAGGAAAACAGTTAATGGTCGGGGAAAAGACTTTAGGAAAAAAACGTACCCATGCAGAATCCAAAAAAGGACAAATAGCTAAGGTCTGAAGAGTTACAACCCTAAGGGAATAGGATGACTAGACCTCCAGTAAGGCTGCTGTGTCTTTTAAAAACTATGTGTAAGTATTCTGCCAGTATTCATGTATAATAGCATTTTTGCCTGACTGTTCTAGAGGAACAGTTAGGGGCAGGAATGAGATTTCTCTACAGTGTAAGTGAAATATTTCTTTTTCAAAATCTTTTCATATTTGATTCGGTCTCTGCCAATAAAAAACCCCAACCCTGA